ACTATTTATTTCCTTTAAAGGCAAAAGAAGCCCACAGTGATGAGCTTTTGCTATAGTTATTGTGTAAACACATTTGCTTCATTTCCATGTACAACATTCATATAAAATGAAACTATTCACTTATAAATGCACTTGAGAAAGAATACAACTGTGCATATTGTTCTGGCAGCTTGTAATTTTCCTTTTCTTTTTTATGTCTGCTTTCTGGATGAGTCACTTTAATGCTGTGCCAATCAGCTAATAGTAATTCTTCAACTAAATATATTCAGTTAAGGAAAAGTACAGTGTGCTTATAATCATCTTTGGGCCTATCCACATAAAGCCTTACAATAGTAAATTTTTGCTTGGTCTTTCTTAGTGCAAAGAAGTAAGAAGTGCTTTGTTACTTTGTCAGTGGTTAAAATTAATAGAAATACTTAATTCAGAGGAAAAACCCTTAAGTTCCTGGAAAAGCTTTTATATTTACATAAAATTACACATCCTGAACATAGCCTAGAGAATGTCACCAGAGTAAAGGATTTTTTTTTCTTAAATGCATATCTGTTGTCTTATATACTATGTCAGTGATGAGTCTTTCCATTCAAAATATCACTTAAAATATTTCTCTTAAAATTTATTTTTTTTAAATTATGAATTAGAGCCAGTCTGTCATTTAAAATGTTTGAATGAAGATCAGACTACAATAGTATATTTGCTTAAAGCCAGGAAAAGAGTATATGTATAGTTTTTCAGCTGAAGGAAGTAGATAAATAAGATTTGTGGGGAAAGTTTCTCCTACATATAACTCAAGAGAGTATACTGAGCTTGAAAGGTTATTTATGAAGTACAAGGAAGAAAGCTATAATAAAGAACCCAATAGCTATAATTTAACTTTTAGGATTATAATTCAGATTCGGTAATTCAGTAGCAGATGTAAAAAATGAAATGAGAGAAAAAAAATTAAAGTGCCACCAGATTGACTAATCAGTCATTGAAAATGCCTGTAGTGGGAATTTACTCAGATAGAAAATGTTTGTACTGTCATTAAAGACTCCCTAATTTATATTAGTGAACTAATATAATGACAGGCACAAAAATATACCCCAAATCTGAGGTTGTACAGGAGACAAGCATTTCCAACCCACTGTAGTATTTAAAACGTTTTTAGAGCTCCAGGTACTCCCCCTTCACACAAACCCTTGTGTAAACACCAGTCTGTCAGTCTCCCTTGCTCTCTCCCTCTCCCTCCTCTTTCCCTCTCTCCCCCCATTTCCCTCTTCATCAACCTCTCTCTTTCTCTCTCACACACACATACACCTCTATTAGAAGTAAGGTGGACTAGGTCGTAATTAGTTAAATAATCATAATATTTACTTCCAGCTCTTATGATTGAAGCAAAAGTATTCAAGGCAAGTAGTCATGCAGGTATACACATGCTAATTCATTTCTAACACTTTTATTCACTTGGAGCCCTGGTTGCACAGTGGTTAAGAGCTATGGCTGCTAACTAATAGGTCAGCAGTTCAAATCCACCAGCTGCTCGCTATGGGGCATTTCTACTCTGTCCTATTGGGTCGCTATGAGTTGGAATAGACTCGATGGCAAAAGGGTTTTTTTGGGGGGACAGGTCTTTTAGACAAGTCTAGAAAGCCAAAATCACTAACTTTTAACTATTTCCAGAGAAATACAGCACAAGTTTTAATTTTCAGAAGTATTCTTTAAAATTGGGACTTGCTAATTAATATCTTGGAAATTGTCTGTTCATTAGTGTAATTGTTACTCGTTCCCACGTCTAAGAGTCGATGTACCCTGTAAAACCTACAAAGAGAAAACACTAAGTTTAGTTCCCTTGGTTAGAAAGAAGACCAAGACTAAATTAAATCAGTCCTTAGCGGAAGATAGGGAATGTCTGATTTTTATTGCTCAGAATAGTATCCTTCTTTTTCTTATCCCATTTCTTCAGTTTCGTTTTTGTCTAGGAATCTCCTGCAACCCTCCTTCCCATATATCTTACTAGACAGATTTCACATAAAAATTGATATGGTAATTTCAACCATGGTGATTATATCTAAACCTCTATATGCATATTCAGTTGCAGGAATTGACATAAATTTAAATGTGAACCGAAACTTCTTGAAGCATACATATTCATTCAGTAAACATTCATTGAGTACCATGTGTAAATCCATTGCCGTCGACAGAGTAGAACTGCCCCATAAGGTTTCCAAGGCTGTAAATCTTTATGGAAGCAGACTGCCACATCTTTCTCCCCTGGAGCAGCTCGTGGTTTGAACCGCTGACCTTTCAGTTAGCAGCCTAGCACTTAACCACTGCACCACCAGGGCTCAGCCATGTGTAAAGCACTATGGTAAGTACTAAGGGAAAAGCAAAGAATTAGATAAGGATCTTACCATTAAGTAGCTTGAGATTTTATAGAGGAAACTGTCTATTTATGTACATGGAACAAAAATAATTCTCATTCAGAGTAGAAGGTTATATGTGGAAGATCACTTAAACAAACAAATGGTGCCTATAAAATGGTAGAGAATTTAGCATTTTGGTGGGATTCTTAAAGGCCAAAGGATTTGACATATGAAATTGGGGAGAATGGCACATATTTGTGAAATACTGTTTTATTAAGAATTCAGTTTTAGAGAAAAGAAGAATTCACTGGATTAAATATAGTGCCTCTTGTTATTTGAGATATCTAAGCCTTTGCGTGCATAGCAACTTGATTAGGCTATTTCTGTGTTGAATAATCAGAAGGTTAAGTCATCATTATCCCATTTTTAGTAGCAGAATTACTATAGCTTTTTATTAGTAGTATTATTACTGTGGTAAATATATATGTAACAAATTGTTTACCTTTTCAACATTCTTCACATGTATAATTCAGTGACATTAGTTATGCTTATTATGTTGTTCAGTCATTACCATTATCAGTTTCCACATTTTTCCATCACACTTTCTAGAAGCTCAGTGTTCCCTAAACATTTGCATCCCCCTTTTTCCCTGCCTCTCATCCCGCCCCTGGTAACCACTAACTAATAAGCATTGGTCTCTATCCACTTGTCTATTCTAGATCTTTCATGTAAGTGGAATCATACAATAGTCGTCCTTTTGTAATTGATTTTCTTTACTGAGTATAGTGTTCTTAAGGTTTATGCATGTTGTGGCATGTATCAGGATTTCATTTCTTTATGGCTGAGTAATATTCCATTATATGAATATACCACATTTTGTTTATTCATTCATATGTTGATAGACATTTAGGCTGTTTCCACATTTTGGCTACTATGAATAGTGCTGCAAGGAACATCGGTGTCCTGAATTACTATTGCTTTTACTAGCCGAATTACTGTTGTGATCTAAACCTGCTATTCGGACACATTTTGTTTTTTGCAGAATGTTATCATGAGTTTATTTCTTCCTGTAACCTAAATGACATAAATGATCAATTTCATATCTTTAGTTTTTCCATCAAGAAATGGGAATGTAGAAACCTTTGAAATAATTAGGGAGAATATACAGGAAAAACCCAAGTGAAAGAAATTCCGTTTAACGTCAAGGAGAATGCTTTCCTCCACAGCAAACTCATCCTTTAAATAAACCAAGCAATGATTGCCAAGCTATTAGAAAATTTTTGGCAAGACAAAGCTGTCTTAGACTTCTACAATAAAGAAGGATTTCCGAGCTTGTCAGATCTATACAAATGGAACTAAATTAGACAGAGCTATTTGAACTGACAGATTCATGGGAAAAAAATATAATTTGTCTTTAGTGTTGGTGTTTGATTTTCAGTGTCTTGAACTTCCATGTATATTTAAGGTGATTTCTCCTGACTGAGTCATGAAGGTGTGCATGTAAGTGTGAGGAATTTGTATCGGAATAGTTTGGCTGAATTTCTGCTAGGAGGTTGATTTAGTCAGTCTCCTGAATTTTTCACTGTAATACTGATATGTCTCTGAGTGAGAGAAAATTTACTTTAATAAAGAGAGTTATAATGTTAGCCTATTTCTGTCTCACAGTCCTTTAATGAAAAGTCATATTATGTTTGAGAGGCCTGGATTTAAAAAACAATGTCATGGACTACCTATCAAATTATAACACTTACTTTGTCCTATTTTGTCTTTTTTCAGCAAGAAACCCCTTCCCTACATTCTGTTAATAGTGATAGAACTCCCCTTATACATGATTGACAGACATGCAGTAATATAGTATCTATAAAATGGTTATAGGTTAAAAAAAGTATCTCTGTAGAAGGAAGGCATCTTGAGAGATCTGGAGTATGTACATGTACTTAGGAGCATTTTGAATACAATACTTAAATTATTGGTTGTCATTGAGAAGAGAAAAGAAGTGTACAGAGAAAGGGGTAATTAAAGCAAGTAATGATAGTACTTAAGGGCATGTTGAAGCTTTGTGGGTGTGTATACGCATGTTTGTTCACTGGAGTTTACTCTAAATTCTCTTTATGTATCAACAGTTATTTTTCACACCTCTATGTATATTAAAAGTACTAAAGAGAGGAACTTTTACCATAGATGTTGGTTTATAAAAATCAAGATATTTCAATAAAAAATAATTTGATCCTTTTTATATAATTTAACCTTAAATCATTTATATAGCCAAGAACATGCATTAATAAGATAAGATCTCTTTGAACCTGAGTTTCTCTTTAATCTTCAAATTAGATTTTAAAGAATGAAATACTAGGATTTCCATCAATAAATTTAAATAGAAATGGATTCATTTGAACTAATGGCTGAGTAAAATGGTGACATTCCCATATTAAACATGATGATTTGATATGTTATATTACACATTTTGACTTATTTTAGAGATAGTAGAATTTTTATGAGCAGTAATTCTGAAAAATGTTAGTTGACTTTATGGACCTATTCTCCACATTTAAAAAAATTAGAAAAGAAAAAAATAACTGTACCTGATATTGTTTTGTTTTGGTTGTTTTGTGGAACACTTGGTGAAATATTCTTAATGCTTTACCCATTGTTTTTTAGTTTCAGCTCAAATTCTCAAGAGCAACCTCACAGCAATGGAACAACAAATCATTCATCTGGAACGTGACATCGAGAAATTCCCCCAAACAGAAGATCAACATGATAAGTTTGTGGAAAAGATGACGATATCCTTTATTTATTTAAGCATTTTGCTTATTTGTTAGTTTGTGTGTCTATTAATTAATTTATTTATTTACTAACTATGTGATTAGCTCTAGACTTACCAGTCTGTTCACACCATCTAGATGAACTTGTGCATGTGCCATTTTATATTAGCAATATAAGTTTTATTTCATGATGTTTTGAACTAGGTATAGTAGGCAAAGGAGCAATTATATAAGAAAAAAATGCCATTTCTCAAATAATAATTTTATCTGCAGACCAACAAGACATGCAAGGTAAGTCTTTATGAAGCTTGATTAGACCTAAAACGAAACAAAGGATCTTCTTATATAACCAAGTGCTTAAAGGAAATGACCAACAGAAGATGTTTTTGATCTGATTTTTTTCTTCCTTTTATGTATGTGCAAATTTCTGAGGGCACTCATGTATCTTCAGGGCTAATCTGGGGATGACTAATATCAATGGAGTGACAGGATTGTGAAGGATAAATGGATGCATGAATGGATGGATAGATGAATTTATTGGTAGAGGATATATTTAAGTAAGTTGAAGTGGATACCTATATAACATTAAGCATTTCTTGCTAAATAAATGCTTTTAAAACCCCTGATTTGTATGTAGTATGTTCATATAAATTACAAAAATAAATGGAAAGAGAACTTGAGAAATGCCATTTAGCTTGAATTGTTTAATGTTAAATCGTCTAAAGATAAACTACATTACAGGTGACTTTTATTTTCTATTTTGGTTTTCAAAAGTTAAAATCGTATCGTCCTGCGCTGGGTTTAAATAAATATCTTGAACTGCAGATTGATTCACCATTTTATATCTCTAGAGGGTATAAATACTGTAAATTCTTTATCTGATAATAAGTACCTTGTTTCAAGGTTAAAGTTACTGCCTTTTTCTTCTTTGATGCTTTTTTTCCTGGCCAAACTTGGAAGGCAAGCAGCTGAACTGGAATTACTTGAGAATGGTAATTTGTACAATTATGTAAAATTTAATTTTTTTCACTCTCAGTGTTTTGGTTCATGAATTAGCACTGTGTTTCATGTACTCCTTTAGTAAAGATGCTGAGTACTTTCATAAGTGTGAATATTAGAAACACAAATTTGAGGGTGATTGGAGGTAGGAAATCCTAAAAAATAACCTTGGCTTGCATAACTGCCCACATTTGGATACTTAATGTGAAAGTTTCACTTTATTGCTGATTAGATTTTTTTCTTCAAAATATGTTGTATTGTCCTGTGGCTGGAAACACCACCTACATCTTTCACCTTTAGATTTTGTTGGTTCTTACCTCGTATACTTGAATTAAATTCCTGATCCTCTCGTTCTTTTTAACATTTTCTTCTACCATTGGCACAATGCCACACAGCAGCTTGCAACATTGAGGAATCTTTGTTCCTCATTTAGAAAAAGAAAAGTAATTTCAAACCCTCATGAACTTGGCCTGGAGTCCTTTATTTCTCTCTTTATGCAGGTAATTAAGCCACTTTAAAATGAAAATCCAGAGCCTTCTGTATCTGTATGTTACAGTCGAATGGTTAGTCTTCATTTAAGTGGCACTAAAGTGTGACTGTCCACAAGGGGATTGAAAACTATATTAAAATGTATAGGGATCTTACTTTGCATATCATAATTATAAAATAAAATATACAGCAGTTTATTTCATGGAAAAAGTTAGAATACTGAGTTGAGTTGGCTTAAAACTACAGATTAATGAGTTACAGTGATAAAACATTTGCTCAAATTATTCTTGCTTTGGAAGACACCATGGGCAGCTATTGAAAATTTCAGTCTTTTGGAAATAGACAAGCAGAAATGCATGATTATCATATGTATATATTTTATGTAAATTCTGGTACCTACTTAATAGTTTTTCTGCTTGTCTTCTAATTCTAAGAGTGAAGAAAATTTATTGTGAGATAATTGAAATAAAATAATCCTGTTTTAAAATTAGAACTACGATTCTATTTCTAGTATAGGATTCTTTGTATTGGATGATCTTTGCAATGTTTCTATTCTCTGCTAATAAATTGTTTTGCTCTAGGTCACTGGCCCTTTAAATTGAATAACTACAGGCATAAATATGGAAGTAGTTTCCTTTGAAAGTATGGTAACCTTACCTACTTAAACAGTAATCTCTCTATAAGGACTGTGAGTTCAAAACCTGAATAGTACTGCCAGGAAAGTCGATTCCAACTCATAGCGACCCGATAGGACGGAGTAGAACTGTCCCATAGGGTTTCCAAGGGGTGTCCCATGGATTCAAACTGCCGACCTTTCGGTTAGCAGCCATAGCTCTTAACCTCTACGCCATGACGGCCAGAGAACTGAACGTGCAGATTAAATCTCCAGCAAATCTCCAGGATGGGCTAACTCCCATAGCATCCTATGTTTGCCCTTACACTTTAATGATATAGGTTGAACACTTAAAATGTACCAGGCATTGTTAGGCCAGGGAAGTACAGCAGTGCATATGATAGAAAACTTGATCTCAAGATGCTTACAGTCTTAACATTTACACACTCTATCTTTATTTTCCCATCGCAGAAGCCATGTCTGGTCTGTTCATTACTATGCCCATTGCAATGGGATCAAGCATAACAACAATTGAGATGATGGTGCAGGACCGGGCGGTGTTTCATTCTGTTGCACATAGGGTCAGAACCGACTCAACAGCACCTAACAACAACAACATGCCCATTAAAATGCCCACCACTTAGCACAGTGTAGGCTCCTAATAAATGTGTGTTGAGTCACAGACTATTATAGCTAAAGACCATGGAGGTCATCTAGTCCAAGCCCGTATTTCTGCTTAGCACTTTTGAACGGATATTACCAAATAATGGTAAGCTGTGCTTAGAGTTATAAATGTTTTCTTTGTATAAATCTTCTCAGGATCCTGAGTAACATTGAATCACCATTCAGAGCATGCTTGTAAAATATAATCAGTTTTAGAAGAGATGATCCACACCTTTTAAAGTAAATGTCAAAATATTGACCAAAAAAAAATAGAGCAATATCTCTCCTATGAAAGAAGTGGCCCCCTGGCTCTTTCCTGGTTCCAGAAGCCTAGTCAATGGCTTTAGATGAAGGCTCATCACCTCTGTCTGTCTCTCCCTACCCAAAATTGGCTGCTTGTTCCAGACTCAGAAAAACTAATTTTAAAAGACTATGAGAGAGAGAGAAATAGGGGAAAATTCTCTCATGAATCATAGGAGGGATGCTGTAGGATCAAAGGGATGGTGTATACTGGACATAATAGCACTATATATTTTGAAAAGCACTTTATTCAGAAATCTAAATGACCATGTGGGGAAATTATTGTTGTAATCTTAGTTTTTTCTTTTAAAAAAGGAAAGTTCTTAGTATTCTTCATGCTGATATGTTCACCATAATAATAGTATTGGAAGTTTTAGTTCAATTATTTGTAGAATGAATTGAAACTAGTTTATAGTAAATAATGCGATGATAATATTCTGCCTTATTTACTGAATGTTTACTATGTCAAGCAGTCCAATTTTATATACTTCAGCTTCTTAAAAATTTTCCCATTCGTTTAATGAGGAGTAGTTTCCATATCTGATGATAAAATTTACCACAGTTTTTCCTGTGTCATTGTAGTGAGCTAGAGTTGTGTCAGGATAACTTCAGCAACTCATAAAGTCAGTTGCCATTGTCCTGTTCTTAATTCCATCATTTCTAGGGGCCACCTCTTTTTTTACCTTTTAAGATTACTGGGAATTATGTCGTCTGTTTCTGGTTTGGCATCTATTTCAAATAGGTGGGACGAAGTTCAGAATCACATCCAGCTTCCAAGTTTTAAAAAATAGCCCATGCTTAAGAGAGCTAAGAGGAAGCATTGTGAATGGATTGCTTGCCAATCATTAGGCCTGTTCTCTTTGACTTGTGGTCTCTTGGCTCTGCAGTTTTCTTTCTTGACCAGTAGTGTGGCGGCAGAAGAGTTTTTCTTTTTCTAATCAAAACATCACTTTTACTTACTGCTCCTTGCTTTTTCTAACAGGAAAGAAGACTATTCTTGAAAGAGGGCTTCTCAGATTTTTAAATGTGTTTTCTGGCCCATTCTTAACATCATAAACTGTCTAAAAAGCACATTAACCACAATGGTGACCTTACTTCTTCCATCCTGTTGACAAACTTCTTACCACATTTACTCACATAGATTTTGTCAGTGGCAGGGCTGTCTGTTGACGGAAATCAGCTTAGCTCTTTGATTGACTGCAGGCTATATCATTTCACCAACTGGAAGACAGGGAGTGACTGAGCAGCAGGGGCACCATTAACACATTGACAAGAAGTGCAGACAGAATGTTAATGACATTAACACCCTGTCAACTATCAGCACATGGGATTTCCTCATAGTATGAGGGAGAGTCATTTGAAGTGGTTATAAATCAAGTTACTGGCAAAGCACATTTTCCTTTCCAGACAATTCAGTACAGATTTGGGGTCTCCACAGCAGTACAATTATGTTAATGTTTTATTCCACTATCCTTTATTAAGAGAATAATTTTTAAATAGATAGAAAAACAATTATTCATCCACAAGTAATATTAAATCACCTTTAAGAACTTGCCAGTAACAGGTTTTAGAGGGATGATGATCCGCACTTTTAAAAGTAAATGTCATATAAAATTGACACACACACAAAACACAAGACACTCAAGAGTAAAACTTTTTTTTTTCTTTTGAATGAAGTAGTCCAGGATATTTTCTGGCTCCTGAAGCAAAACCAAGGACTTTATATAGACTGGAGGGACTTTCACCATCTCTGACTCTGTTTTCACCTTCAATTGCCTACTAGTTTCAAACTTTGAAAATTAGGAACTTCAAAGCAAAAAAAAAAAAAAATGTAATTACTCAGGGCGGGGAGGGTAAAAGATCAAAAAAAGATGGCCAATAATGGAGATAAAGCATACATTGAAAAGCAAATTATTTTAGAAAACTGTTGTTGTTAGGTGCCATCAAGTTGATT